GGCCTGCAAGCAGTCCACAACACGTCTTGTGGATTCTTGTGGCTGTGGCAGGTATCCGTGCTCTCTCGGCTTACGGGTTCCCGGCTTGCTGCAGGCAGCGGCGTGCGACATTCACATCGGACCTGGCCACGGCCTGCAGACTCGGACGCCCCCAAATAACTTTTGAGCAGCCTCCTGGAGCGAATTCTGGCGAGACTTGCCACACACCACGAAACGCCTCTCCGAAAATGCCTGCCACCGCATCCAGCACTGCGGTCCTTCAAAACACGGAGTGGCGGACCCAGTGCGTTTGTTCCAAGGGTAATTAAGGTGCAGACTCGCTGGTAAGCGTGTTCCCGAGGCTTTCCGGCTCTATGGTGACTGGCTCGAGCTCGTCCTGATGGAGCACCAGATGCAGCGCATGACCAGAGCAAGGTCGCGACGCTCCTCTGGCACAGGGAGCTGGACTTCGGAAACCGAACCGCAGTCGGCCTCCAACAGCGCGCCCGGAGTGGCCCAGAGCCCAGCTTCGCGGCTTCGCGGCTTCGCGGCTTCGCGTCGTGCCTCGCCAGGACGGCCCGCTGCTTCAAGGCTCCTGCGCAGCGACTGCGCGAGAGACTTTGTGCGAAGGGGCGAAGGCCCAGAGGGCCCGGCCTCGCGGTGGCACTGCCGCCCTCTGTGACCTCCCGACACCAGACCTCGCTCGGCGCCCATTTCCTTTAAACCTCCACTGCTGGGGGGCCCGCACGTCTCCGTCGCTGAAGATGAGGCGATTACCGTCTGCCAGTTTGCCCTGAGGCTGACGCTCGCAAGAAGCACAAGGGCAGTTCCGGGCTCCTGAAACATCTCCCCATCCAGCTCCATGTTGAACCTCTGCTCTCAGCCGTCATGCGCAGCTGAGGCTCTCGAACGCCAAGCCCGGCGCGCAACATCGCTCGTGGCTTGGATGTAGGTCTGCAGTCCACTTTGCCAGCGAATTTCCTCCAGGCATGGCAGGCTTGCGGACTTGCGAGCTGCCCGAACCTTTGCTTGAACACCTTCCGTCAAACGCAGGCATTGGGGAAGCGCGTATTGCAGTCAAGCTGCTCCAGCTTTGATGGTGCAGCATCCAGACCTCAGCTTTCGCAGCCAATGGTGCCTGCGACATGACAACCCCCAGGGCAGCCACGAATAGCTCCAAACGCCATCGAACTCAAAAGGCCGAGTCTGACTCGAAACATCCTCGCGCACTGCAGCAAGTTGCTCTGCCTTCTTTAAACAAATGCCCCCCCCATCTGAGATCATCTGCCCCTGCATTCAGCCTTCCCAAATTCCCTCGAAACCTTGGGTCCGACGATTCTGCAGGGCAAGCCTGCTGCTACGCTGCAGCCGATGTAGTGAAGAGGGCGTGTTCGAAGCTCTGGGCCGCAGCCGTTTCTGAACATGCTCCACATCTTTTGCTGGAACAAAGCGCCTCAGAGGAAGGAAACAAATTGATCCGAGACGCCTCCAGGTTAGATCTCACTTGCAAAGAGGGGTGCCCAGCAGCTAAGAAGAGTAATTACAAGGCAAAATGTCTTCCACGAGAGTCCTCTGTGGTCCAGCAGTGGCTCCAAAAGTACCTCGCCCAGCAGTTGACTGTGGTTCTTCCGGACGGAGACTTGCTCACTGGCGCACTGCTCGGCATCGAAACGTGAGAGGCTGGTATACTTGCTGCACCTAGAGACATCTACAAGGGAAACAGAACGGATGCAAGCATCCAGGGCGCCGACAGCTGCTCAAGCCTGAGGTCTGGATGCAGAAATTTGCATGAGTCGCAAGAGGCCGCATGGCTTAGCGGCCGGGCGTGTACTTTCTGCTGTCCGATGGATCAAGCCGAAGTGTATGAGCAACAACCTCCGGCAAAGCCAAATGCATCACGCCGTGGAATACTTGTCTCAAAACCAAAGCAAGCACGACATGCTGGTCCAAATCCGATTGCCGGCCCCGTCCTGATCGGAGGAGGTTGTCGGGCCTTCGTATGCTGGCTCTTGACAGGATCTGGAGAACAAGTCATCTTACTCTGGGATTGGTGCTGAAATTGATCCTGGCTTCGTCCAGCTGTGTCACTGCAGTCGAGGACCAGGTCCGCCAATCCTGCTCAGCCTCGTGCAGCAGCCATGTCATGTGATCTAGTGGCGTGCTGCTCCGCACAGCACAGGTGCTCGTTGCAATCCAGTGCTTATGACTGCCAGGCTGACTGAACTGCACAACCCGGCTCGTGCTTGCAATGGCAACGGTGTCATGAACTGCCCAGGTATCATTAGGCAGCGGCATATCCAAGGGCTCCTGGAGCACATCACAACCGTGCGGCGGCCGGCCCATGTTGATCTTCGAAGCGCGGAATTTCCCCCCGGCACCTCTAAGACCGGCAACTGGAGCATCGATGGCATCGCCCTGCTCGCACGTGAAGGAACCGCACTGCCTCCGTCCGGAATCCACTTGGCAGAAGGTCAAGTAAGTCATTTGCAATATGTCTGTGGCCTGTAGCACTCGATAGCCTGGTGCCACCACATGTCATGCGCCGGTGGATGCACCTCCATCATGAAAGCGTGTGAGTACGATTGAACGTTTTGCAACGAATCCAACTGCTACGATAGACTGCGAGTGACCCTGACGATGTATATGTATACATCGCAAACGATGTTGTGGCTCGGCGCAGGTACAGCACAGCATCGAATGGTCAGTATGTCGGCTAGCAGGCTGAGATCCGCGCAGGTGCGTCTGCAGGCTGTTGCTTGATTACCAAGCGTCGTAGTGCCACAGCCGCAGCCGCAGAGTCAAAGAGAAGATCCTGCGGCAGCAAAGCGGCTTCAGTCTGGCCGTGGCGCAAAGCTTCGTCACCTGTTACATCTGCTTTCGAAGCTCCACTGCAACCGAAGCGACATGACTCTTTCAACGCATCTCGTTTCAATGTGCCTGCAGAGGAATATGGCACGCTGGATCTACAAGGGTGAAACGACGTCTTGTTTTGCCGGGGAAGCTCCGACTTGATGATGCAGAGAACAAGAAGTTTCATGCGAAGATACGGGGCATGCATCCCTGCATCATCCTACAAAAGTACGTGGCGAGTATGGGCAGAAGGAGCAGGTGACTCGACTCTGAACTGTAGCACCTCACCCTGCGCACCGTAAACCCTGCAACACTAAGAAAGTTCAAGTTCAAGGTTGATGAACTTTGACCTGTCCACCTGCATGCTAGAATCGTTAGCAGTCACAGGCTGTAGACGCTATGTTGGTCTTTCTCAACTTGGCCTGGACAACGTATATACATCGGCAAGAATCCTCGTAAAACGACTTGAACGGATTTTGGTCCGGCTTGCCTTCAAAAAGGAATCACTTTCGGGAAAATCCCACAGAAGGCCAAGCTCACCTTGAACCGGCTGGTGGGCGGCGGCCTGAAAGGGGGCTGAGCGGCTGGGCAGATCACGGATCCTGCAGCCTTGCAGAGGACAATGAGCGTAGTCTCAAGATACGTCCTAGATGCTCGCCTTTGTCAGTAGAAACCGTGCTCTTGCTCTCCTTGGCTTGACACAAGGCCAGGATTCTACTCCATCTACAACCTGAGGGCTGGCATCGGAACCATCCCAAACAATCCGATTTCTTGAGCTTGCCCATTTTTGCTCTCAACCTGCAGGCGAGCAACCATGGTGTCTTGCGTTCTCCTTGGCACAACAGTTTGGGTCCTACCCCTGTCCGAGCGCATGCCCGCTTCCAGGGAGATTTCAATCGACGAATCTGAACAAGGCGACGTAACCCTTCGAGCCAGGTCTCTTCGGCTGCAAAGGTGTCTTGACTCTGCCATTTTGCTTCGGAGCTTGCCGGTGTGGCGGCGAGGCATCTTGCAGGATCAGATAGGACGAGTTTTCCTTCTCTGGAAGGGCCTGTGCACCACGGCTTTGAAGCTTTCATGCCCCAGCAAACCACCCGGGCCGATCCGCGGTCCCTCTTCGGGCCTTACAAAGAAAGCGGATGAGAGCAGCAAGGCCCAGCAATCCAAAGAGCAAGAAGTTTGAGTAGATCTCAGTATCTTCATCTTTCTCTTCCTCCTTCTGTTTCTCCTCCTCTCTCCTGGACAACGCATGTGGAAGCCTGGGAAACAGTTAGCAGAACCCTTGCCCATTT